CCAGCTGACTGTGGTTTGTACCGCCGGCGCCAGGGTGTGAACACTTGGAGAATAGAATCATTCTAAGTATGTTTGACAATTTGTTTATTTCTGTGTTTCATAAATATTTTTTTGTTAAACAGGTACTGTCCAATTGCATACCATTTTACATGGAGATTTGGTTATTTGGTGTCCGATCGATCTCTATGATTACCATAAATAATTAAATTAAATTCTCACGTGCGAGAATTTTGGTTTGCGGCGTGCACCGATGAAAATGGAATGTGCTGTGTCATACCCGTCTGTTGGTAGTCCTTTCCAAGAATTTCTTCTTTATAGCGAAAGAATACCTGAAAAACATGCATGTTTTGTTCACATCCATTTTGTAGGAGTTTGAGCTGGCCAATGTGTTTGCTGGCCAGAATTATAATACATACATCTGGTTTCAACAAAATTAAAACCAAATTTTGATCTTTGTAACCTGTTTTTTTTTTTGGAGAAATTCATTCAAAGGCTAACATATCTAATCAGCAACGCCAAATTTCTTAACTTTGTGACAAGAAAAAGCGACTTAAACTGAATGAATACGTCAAGCAACCATATCAATGTAAAGAATGTGAAAAGCGTTTTACCAGCGAAAAAACATAGTTGAACTTTGGTGACCTTGCCTTTTGTTATATAATATTATTCCCCTTATCGTAGTTTGTTTCAATATGAATATGCATTATCATAATTAATTTTGAATGCACGTTTTGGGGTTGAAACAACAGTGGGGAGTCTACCGAATATCCCTGGTAGATGTAAATATCTTACAAAAACATTAATTGGTGACTAATTTGTTTAATTATTGTAAGGGACATAATTTCCAGCTTTATTCAAAGTAATTCAGATATTTTAGTATAAAACAAATGCCTCATCCCTGAAAAAAGTGCTGCATTTAGACGTGAATAGATTCATAAAACATGCAAGATACCAGAAAATCTTAGCTGGCTTTTGTCCAAGTATTTTGTAAAGGTGTCTGTCAAAAATTGATGATTCACCGAGACAAATATGAACTGCTTTATTATATTCATTGTGTGACTACTGTATTATATGAAAATTAAAAAAACGCCCTCTATGAATAGCTATCATATTGTAAGCTCTGCTTTGTATGCAAATCAACTTAAATAGTTAATTGGTGTCCAGTGGAGCGAGAAGTCAATAGTACTGTTGTCTCCTGAGAATCTACATCTTCAAACACTGCAATCTTTTGAAGGCATTTTTAAATTAGTAATATAAAAGCTCTATCATTCTGTTCTATTAGCTGAACAAATTCCTGTGAATTTTCATTTGTTGAATGAACTGTTTTCAAATACAGAATACACATATTTTAAAACAATCTTCTTTTCAAAATGTGGATGCAGTTTTGCTTTTTATGTATTTTTTTATGTATTGTTTTTGATTTGATAACTTTGAACTAAACAGATTTTCTATTAGCTTCAGATCTTGATCAAAAATTGGCACCCAGTTCATAGGAGTGCTTATATTGATATTTTACCTTGCCACATAGCCTGGACACATAACATATCAATGTGAAGAAAGTGACAAGTGTTTTACCCAGGCAGTCAGTCACCTGGAATTACACACAATTGCTTACTGGTGAGCAGCCATACAAATGTGAAGAAAGTGACAAGTTGTTTTGGACAACAATCATGGTAAAGCATGCTGGGAAAGTTTTCATTCTCATGTTAAGCAATTTCGTTTATTAAATGCATTAGTAATACCAATACAAAGGTACTAGAGAATGCAGGCAACTGTCTTTTCTCAGATGTAAGGTCTCTTGGGATTTGAATTATTTCAAGACCAGCTACATCAGAAACATTCAAAAACCAAGAATATATTAATCACATTTTTCAGTTGTTGAAATTCGAAACAAAAACATTTCTTTACAACACATACACGTAGTAAGTTTTGAATGAATTTAAAACAAATCTTATTTCGAAAATGGGATACACAAATGGCTTGGAGGTGGAGAGTGAATCAATAGAAGTGGAAGATAATAGAATATCTTTATTCATTGAACAAAAATAAGTCTACATCACATCATATGAACAGTATTACCTAATTTATTCTGTTTTGAACATATTAAATACAGACTGTTTTCAAAAAAAAAAAAGGTTACATAAACTAATGGAAAAAGTGTGATATGGTGGAAGTAGACATGTTGCATGCACCTACTCATGTATTATACACGACGCATTGCACAATTCATCATTCAGTTGCATGTTGATGTATTCTCCAGCATATTTGTATTCTCGGGGCAGACATTCGGGCATTTTCACCGCCTGCCAACCATCACGGTGAAAAGAAGATAAAAAACTCTCAGAAAACTGTACTTTGGGATAGTTGATGGGACTCTACTGAACAGTGCAACAAGATTGCTCCTATATGTGAATCATATAAACATTCTGATTTCTCAACTTCAGCCTTTTTCACGGCGTTCCACAGCAGCTCGTGCAGAGCCCATAGAAATACATGTTACAGTGCTGCACACCTTAGCAAAATAGAATGTTTTATGACGTAGCTCCACTTCCAAGGATTATAAATTAGAAGCGAGTATGAACCTGCGTATGTGTGCATAGTCTAATCACAACCAATCAAACTCAGCGCCTTTGAAAATTCAGTCTCCGTTGTAACAAAATACTGAGATTGTGAAAGTGATTTTCCCTTCCAAAAGCTTTTGTGATGTGCATATTGCATTTTATGGCATGAATTCAGTGAGTAAAAATGTCAGTGTTCCATGCCATTAACATTTTACATGTAGAAATCATTTTTTAAAATCCTAGTTTCCTAAACTGTAGCAGTTGCAAATTTACTGTACAATCTGTATTAGAAGCTGCGGCTGCTATAAAAATGGTGCAATACAACAGAGGAGCATCTACACATACGAGAAATGGTGAAGTTTCGGTTCTCGATTGTTTGAAAAGAATGGGTGCGGCTCCTATCAGGGATGCGACTTATAATACAGATTTTACGGTAATAATTTCAACCGAACCAAGATTATTTATTCATGGTGCTGGAGCATAACTAGAAATGAGAAAATTATAATTTCTATAATTTTTAACTTTAATTGGCGATTGCTTAACATTGAATGATGCAGTTTATTCCATGCTGTGGTCAAAATGTTTACATTTCTGTATTAGAACATACAGGAAACAATAACAGAATGCTGCATGACTCTCGTACTCGACCCACGTTAAACTTTTGGGGAATAGTTTGCAAGTTTATCTTGGCCCCCATTTCTTCAGAAGCATGCAAATATTACTGTCAAGTAAAGAAACGTGGTCTCATCTGAATAATCAAATTACAGACTCTATTGACTACCATTAATACATGGTATGGACGGGTAAAAATATGCTATTACTAAGGCCTGCTTAAGACTATGAATGACCTTTCAAAAATTATTTATCACCAGCTTTTAAAAAATCTTGCAAATTTTTTTCACCAAAATTTTACTCTCCCATTGATATGGAAAAAATTTCTACACCAATATTCAAGAATTCCTGGTAAATTGTAACAACATGTGCAGGAGTCTGATTGGTTAAAATATGACTTCTACCTATTTAACAACGAAGATATTGACCAAGATCTTGACCATTCCCTACAGACCCAAATCTTTACATCACAAAATTCTGATGATACGTATATAATATATTGTAATAAAATGTGCACATTTTTTGTAAAAATTTGTGTTATTTGTAAAGGTGTTCTGGGAATCAATGACAATGAAATTCATGTTGTAAGATAATGTTTATTTTCCCCCTAAGAGACTGACTGTTACATGGTAAACAAAAATGTCATTTGGATAATTATTTGTTAGGGTGCTTGACTAACAGCCCAATACTTAAAGCGCGTATTCGTCGTGCAGCACGTGTTCGAATTTCATGTAAATAAACAATGTATTTTAGACGCAATGTATACTAGTACGTCGCTATGAATCCCATATCGAACAGGACACGACGCGACGACTGCCGCCCTTTAAATACTGTTGATTTTGGAGCTGAATACCCTTGACGAGTTGGACGAGTACAGTAATTAGGCCTTCTAATAAACCTTGCCTGCTTTGCACTTGTGGCAGTTTTAAAATAGGTACATGTTATTATTTTCCTAATGACGAAAAAATCAATTGAGCTATTATAGAAACTACCATACTGTTAACCACCCAAAAACAAAACTGGAATCTAGTATATCACAAGCATTTAGTTAAAAATAATTTGACAGATTACACGGCCGGAAGATGTTTATCGATAAATTCCTGTACATCTTTCATTTCCTGCAAAACAAAACAAAACAAAACAATCTGTTAGGAAAGAACAACAAAAAATGTGTTTACATGTGTACATTTAAACCCATTGAGCATCAAAGTTTAACATGGGCTAAGAAGCGCTAATTACGGGTTAAACCTGATCCGTCTTTTAGACCCAGAGTAGATCCTCAGCCTGGGCTAATGAAGTGTACGCTTAGCTCGGGCTAAGCACCCAAAACACAATTGTGGTCTATGTTCATTTGGAAGATTTACTATTCCTTTCGATATGCCATTTCTGTAATGACAACGAAGCAAGCCTGAGCACATCTAGGGAATCTAGTAAACTTTGAAGCAAATAGATTAAATATTAAATACAGGTCTTATTCAGAAAGATTGAACAAATTATGCAGGTTTATTATAATTTTATTGTTCATAATAAAGAAGATCAGTCAAATATGATCAAATGTATCCATTCAAGAATACAGAAAAATAATTCTGATTGATAATTATTGATAGAATTATACAAGCTTTAATAAAAAAATAATTGCAATTTAAACAGGTGTTGTTGTTGAATACATGAATTAGCGGTAGCATTAAAATTGAATCATATATTATACAGGGTATAACTCGTTAAAAGGCAATTGTTGCCATGTTACATTTGATAGGGTTCCCATAGCAACATCTACACGATCAATACATGTAGAATGCATAGTTTATTCATACGAAATTTAAAACATGCATGGTGCTATGACCACTGTCGTACCATTCCATTGTTATAGATTCAAATGCCGTCTGTCATGAAATGATGTTTACATGAATTATTTGCCAAAATAGTTGAGAAATTACAGCTACATTTTTTTTCCAGACTTCCATATATATATATATATATATATATATATATAAATACAGAATGAATCACATGGGCTACAACAGTATACACAAAGAAAATCAGAGTTACATCAAAGTTTGAAAAAACAATGTCGTCAAAACCTACCTCATCACATGAAGAATGTGACATGCCTTTGTACTGTTTGAATTCAACTCTGCAATTCATGGCTTTTAGATTTTGATAAGTCATTTCACCAAACTGAAACTGTACCATAGGATCTGCTGTACCATGACACTGTAGTATAGGAGTGTTTGTATTGCCTTTGATTGCCTAACAAAAATATTTAAAAAATAATAAAAAATTACAAAGTATACAAAAGTATACAATACAATACAATACAATACAATACATTACAATACATTACAATACAATACAATACAATACAATACAATACAATACAATACAAGTGTGGATTCATAGTTCATTTACTTTTTTGGACTAAAAAAAACCTAAATATTACATGTATGAATGTGGAAAAGTTTTCTGGTTTTCCTCGCTGCCAGCAGAATATTTGTTGTTGACATAACAAAGGAGCTTAGCACTAAACACAAAGGAAAGTTTATCAGCTTAAAGCGGGAATTGAGTTCCAAGCGATGATAACAACACACGCTAAAAACACAAAGGCTTATGGGTAGACGCATGTTTGTAAACAATGACACGCTACGGCTGCTCCGCTTTAAAATCATGATAATACTAGTGATTCCAACTCATTTATATGTTATAGTATATGAACATACAATGCGTACTGCAGGGACATGTATATGAAATCATCTCACTACATGTATGTTGGTTGCTACACAATTAGCCTCGCTCCGGCTAAAAACTGTACTCCAAATTATCATCATGAATTTTGATCATGTTATAATCCATATCCTGTTTGTAAACACAAATTTGTTCATATGGATTAGTTTATGCAGTTTTCACAACCCTTTCCCCATAGTAATCTGATGCAGACTTTCCATGTATCTTACCCCAGGGAATTGGTCATGAAGTGGCAGCCATGTGCTCAGTCCAATCACTCCAGCCAATGGTTTGGCAAGGGTTAATGCAGAATGTAAAGCTACGGCACCTCCCTGTGAAAACCCACCAATTATTATACGATTACTTGCAATACCAGCACTCTCCTCATCTGCAACCATCTGTTGTACTGCAGAGAAAATGAGAAATTTCATTATTAATACCTGGCCGGACCACAAGAAAGACAATACTGCGGAAGATTCACAGCTGATACTGCTCCCTGATTGGTCAAGACCAGGTCAGGTGGTATATATTTACTACTCTGTGATTGGTGAAAACCAGGTCATGTGGTATATATTTTACTGCTCTGTGATTGGTCAAACCCAGGTCATGTGGTATATATTTTACAGTAAACTTTCAGAAAATGGTACTTTGGGATGGTTGTTGAGACTCCCCTGAACAGTGTAATATGATTATCCCCTGCTTTCACTGGCTCTTTAACCAAGGTTCAACGGTACCTCACACAGAGCCTGTAGAAATACATGGTGATGTAGCCCCGCCCCAATACATGAATTAGAGCATTATCCCAAATCTTACATAAACAAGCCTCACTTTCAGATAAAGATGCATACTGCCCTCAATGTCCACTCACGTTTTTCTGTTGATGCTTTAATACCAGCTTCATCTTGTTTACTGTCAAATGATAGACTTTCTATATCAAACCAAGAAGGCATTCGAAAACCAGCATTTAACGACACAGGTATAGCATCTCTGCAATGAAAAACAAACATCCTATATAAGAAACTTTTCACATTTTATCAAAGTTAACTTTTCTCCTCTGTGTGTCATGCATATGCACTTGTTTGATATTGGAACTCAAGATAGCTGTATGAATAGCTGTGCATTCAAATAATTTTTTTTCATTTCAAAACTTGATTTACGTTGTGCATACAAGTGCTTCAGTTCTTGATCAATATCATTCCCTCCAGAGTAGCTTAAAAATGAACGACTGGCGGCCATTTTTTGCACGTAATTTTCCCAGCCAAAATTCAGTGCAAATATTTTTATATTTTGTGAAAATTCATCATAATTTTGGACTATACAGACAGTTTCAAGATTTTGTATCCCCTGGGTTTACATTTCTTTGAGTTTGAGCTAATCGAATTTCATATTATTTTTATGATAAATTTGTGTTTTAATTGAGAAGATATTAACTTCTAGTGCAGCATAATGAATAACTATTGATATAGTGCACAGGCGCTTAACGACTCCCTCACTTTAATTGTAAGAATGTTATCATGAATCACTACAATTTCAGAACTTTTTAAAAGATTTTTTGAGAGTTGTTTTTTCAATTTTTTTTAAAAAACTTTTCAAGGCTTTTTTCAGACTCTTCAATACAATTTAAAAATATTATTTAGAACATATGATTGCTATTAAAAGACATTACATCATGTAAGTTGTTAATCTGGGCTACCTACCGAGGAAATAACGCCTAGCACAAGTATGCACATGCTGCTATCAGAGTAATTATAAGAGGATCCCGAGTCAAATATTGAAAGAATATTTTACCACATAAAAAATGCATTAATATGAAGGGCAAGACAGATTATACTCATCTGTCTCCATGGTAATATGAACACAATGGTGAAAATTTCTTGATGACAATGACACATAATCTAATTATGGGTAATAGGGTGTTCGTGATTGGTTTGATTTGCTAAAAATAGATCACAACAGGAGAATAAGTGCACGACAAAGTTATTTTCAATCATTGTTGTCGCTTTTAATGATATATATTGAAAAAATATATATTGCCTGTTTTAAATCACAAAGAAAAACTTGGAATATCCAAACTAGTTTTTTAATTATAAACTGAGTGTGTTTTGTTCATTTTCCAATCCAAAATAGCTGCCTAAATAGTGTTCAGAGCAAATAGGGAAATCGCAAAATAATTGTTTCCATGTTTATTTGTTTTTGGTAATTTATTTTAGAGAACCATTCACTTGGCAAAATTTCCAAAACTTGTAGTCATTTAGGTAGTTGCATCGCTACGATTCAAATCTATCATTTTTACTATATTGGCTTCATTTTATGCCGTTGATCACAGAATCAAGATATGGTCATTGAACTACTTTTGCAAAAAAAATGTGTTGAACACCCATACTTATTTGTTGAGCTTTTTTCAAAAGGTTATGTTATATCTTATATTATGTAATCTCTTGTTTAGATACATATATTTATGGTGAATATGTCATAGAATTGCACCAACCTCCATGTAATACATGAAATTTTTTTCCCATTAGAAGAGCAGAGCG